CACAATCTCCAGTGGTTCTTCTTGAATTGTAAGAGATATGTTCGCAGATGGTACATTCTGAAGCATGACTGCACTTTGTAGGTTCGAGGAGCATGCCAAAAGACGGTGGCCAGTTTATTCAACAGAGCTTGTGCTTCGCTTTGGTCTTCGACGATAAGGGCGATGTCATCTGCGTACTCCAAATCGACAAGGCTCTCATCATCCCGGGAGAACGTTCAGTGTGCTTGTTCCCTGCTTTGGTCTAGTTCAACCAGATTATTCATGTCCGAACGGAAGGAGAACTGTTCAGATAGGAGTGATGAACACAATAGTGATTCGAACTGACTCGTAACACAGCTGCTGATGTTGAATTATCCTAGGATGGCAGTGGATCTTCCAGAATACTGGTGACGGTTCACATGATCTTATGTTACCATCTTCAATAATTAGAAAAGACTGTTGATGAAGAAGTTCCCTCGATTAGATTGCTTTGGACAACGACTAAAGTGGAAATCAACCTTCACAAAGGTGAGCGAGACTCAGCAGTGTGTTAGTCCATTTACCGAGGTGCTGAGCTTCGGTCAGAGAAAAGCTATTCCAGCCGATAAATTAAATCTGTCCCGCGCTAAACTATACGGCACAGTAGTCAAAAGTTAAGTGACCAATTGATGTTTGTCAAGTAAACAGAAGAAGTGGAGACAGTAATGAAGATACACTATGAACCATCTCAGATCATGTTCCGCTGATGCCTAAGAGTAGATACTGAACTAATCCACTTCGGTCCTGTGTGCGCATGGACGTATGTTTACCTTATTTTCTGGCTTGAGCATACACAGTGATGAATGTCGAGTTGTAATAGACCTGTTCCGCCATGTGTTGGTCTGAAATTTGTTGCACTGTCACACTAGACATTGTGGCTACGAATTGCTCATAATGTGCGCAGTCAGGTAAACAACCCTTACGATAGCCTGGCCTCTGTTAACAACACCAGTTCGAGTGATCGACACCGGGCGGTTAAAGAATGGGTGGTATTCATTTCGATCTGCCAATCAGCTGATCGTGACTGACTTGTAGGGTCTTCTTCTAAAGGCATTGGTCTCGAGTATCGTCTATGATCAGGAGAATACGTACGACTGATGACTCTCAACAAGGGAAAGCAATTCAACTGCATTTCTAATCCTTTCTGTGCCCTCAGCGCCGGATGGAATTTCGATTTGTAATTTTGAGGTATCATGATTGACCGAACTCTATTAGAAACATTAGAAGACTATGGTCAAAATTCCAGTGTCACTACGTGATGGAACCTCGCTTGTTCTGTTTTCCTGAATTCCTCAAAATTTGTTTGAATTTAGCGCGTAATATATCCAGTCCATTGATTCATAGCGTTTTAACATGGAAGACAGACTACGAGGGAAGCGATCGGCTCATTCACACCACAGTTCTGTAGAGAAAACTAATGTCTACTTACCATAAAGTGTATTTTGCATGAGGTTTTCCTTTATCTCAAAAAGGACAGATGTAAACTACTTCAATAATGTTACGCGCGTTACCTTATGATTTCTATTTAATGACCTAAACCTCTGTGTAAACATCCATTAATCGGAGGTCATAACTCCGAATAAAGTAAAGGTGAGGCTTAAGCCAACGCTTTCAGAGCCCGCTTTATTCATAAACCCTGTGATATTATTCTAAGACCCGCGTCTCCCCGGTGTGTTCCACTCACGACACTTTCATCCTAGACTGTAACGCTCCCCGATTTTAAATCCGTAATACGTTTTTAAGAAGCCCTCAGGGAAAGAAAACAACACTGGTCAGTATAAGGAAATATATCGAGAGTAACTTGATATATCTACACCTACAAGCCAAAAATGTGGATGGGAAGGAAAAGCTACACTTCGCCGTCGGCCGCCATAGCTGCAAGAACGTTCGGAAGAACCTGCTGCTCAATTGGACACCTGATCTCTAGTCAGCCAGCCACA